CTTTTGAAGCTGCACAGCTGTTAACTTAGATAGATACTAGAGAATTTTTCTGTGTACAAACTGGTATCAACATACTTCTGCAGCCGATGGATAAAGGAAATTTCCTCCCCAGACTGATTCCCAGTACCTCCTCCAAATTCAACCAAATTTGCTCCACTCTCTGAAAGAACGTGTGGAAAGTAATAGTAAATATTATTGACAATTCAGCAAAGGATGTGCTATTACCAGTTTCCATTGTGATTTCCTTTGAATTGTAAAATCTAGACATTTGAGTACCAGAAGCTTTTTAGGTTCTTATTTTATAAGCACAGATTTTTCACATTTTGCTTACGTGAAAGATCTGTGTGATAACAAATACCTGAAGAGTATCAGAGTATAGGGGTATACTGGTGACAAGAAAGGAACCAGGGAGAGGTGAAGAATGAATTTGCAAAGAAAAGAACTTGAGAACTGGTGTAATGAATGGTTGAACAGAGCCCAGTGAAGAGAAGGAAAGGAGGCATGGGAACTGAAATAATATTGAATACTGTAATGATGACAAACTTCCACAGATAAACATTTCTGAGTAGCTCCCTCATCCTCTCATCTAAAAATTGGTACAAAAATAATAATAAAAGATATAATGCAAATTTTTTGTTGGCTTCTTACTAGTCTTTCATCAAATAAATTGTTCCTAAAGCATGAGAATTAGTCTCCATCAGAAATTCTTTCACCAATGGATGATCTTCATTCTTGAAGAACAATGAAAAGCAAAACAGGCATTTCTACCCTTAGAGTACTGGCAATAGTGGTTACTTAGAGTCTCTGGTTCAAAAAATAACTATGTGTTAAATTCACTTGACAAATGAGATGGCTGCCAGACAATCAACATCCTAAACTTCCCATACATGTATGAATGAGCAATATGCATAAACATAAGGACTCTTTCCTTCAAAGCTTTGCAAAAACACAAACCATATATCATACTGTGTACTATGTTGCTTATAAACAAGTCAAAACATATACTTAGCAGTTAAATCAATTCTCATTTCCCTTACTCAGACTCACTTTTTTTCCCCTAAAGTACTTGCCTGTAGTTACCACATGGTGGTATCCATGCTAACAGTTTCTCCTATATTGTAATGAAGTTTAATACCCTGTTGCTTCTCTTGATCTGTTTGGACTGATAAAGAGATGCCATTATAGTTAACTGAAAAGACAGGAATGTTGTCTTTCCTTGTCAATACAGATCTGGGTCTGGTGTAATTCTTCCACAACTTCTGGCAACGTAAGTGCTAAGGGAGTGATTCAAGTAATAATCTAATAAAGCCTCATCCTTGGAAGAAATTGACATGCTTCTCATTTTATCAGTTCAGCAATTATTAGGCTGGTCTCTTCTAAAAGCCTGGTATTGACAGCTTTGATTCATAAGGTAAGAAACTTTCTATTTTAAATGCTGCCTAGGAAAATAGTCAAGGTAAGAAAGCAATGTACATTAGCAGTAAGTTTGCCATATATATTTGCTCTGTAATAGCATAATAATATTGAGATGAAGAGCTAGCTCCAAAGGCAAAATGCTGTGACCATCAGACCCAGTTCCCTGTGTAACACCATGGTGGGGGAGGATGCAGTGGGGCTGCTGTTGGAACAGAAACAACCCAATAACAGTTAGATCAAACACCCTGAGCACATGGTCCACCCCCTACCTGTCCCCTTCTTTCAGCAAATACATTATTTTGAGTTAGTATTGATTTCATTATTTGTAACACAATGCATTAAAAGTAACATGGGTTTTCATAAATGGGGTCTTAAAAGAACAAAACTGTTTAAGGTAATAAAAGGATGGGGAATAAGAAGAGATACACGTTTCAGTCCAAAGCATCTAGTTTAGAATGTTCTGGCATTACCTGGATGAAAGTTTCTCACAGCAACTCGCATGTTAAAAAACCCTACTTTTTCACCTTCAGTATAGTCACGTTCACTATTTTTAAATCTATATAATTTAACGATTTCACTCAATCTTAGCATTTGCGAACAATCATGATGGTCATTCAACAGACATCAAAAGCATTGTAGAGAAACGTTTAGAACACTGTAGCTATTTGTACAAGTAAACTACTAACAGCTTTGAAACAATATTCAAAGAAAATTTCCACTCGCATACGATTCACATAAACCCTAATATTAAGCAGGCTGCTTATTTGTATCATCAAAACTAGACGTATCAAAAACCGCATAAAGAGTACTTGATGCCTTCTGTGTTGCTCTTGCATGCAGGTGAAATGTCTGTACAACAGAAAAAAAAATAAGAACAGCCACCTGCATTCCAGAGCACAAATATAAGCAGCAATAGTGAAAATAATGTTTACTGTGGGGTGGTGAGGCACGGGAAGGCTGCCCAAGGAAGCTGTGAATGTTCCATCCCCTGCACTCTTCAAGGCCAGGTTAGACAGAGACTTGGGCAACATGTTCTAGTGGGAGGTGTGCCTGCCCATGGCAGGGGGCTTGGAACTAGATGATCTTAAGGTCCTATCCATCCTAATCATTCTATGATTCTATGATAATTCTTAACAATTTAATTATTAGGACATCCTCCTACATTCACTTTTGCTCTCATGTTAAACAGAAAGATGCTTTCAAGTTATGGTGGCTTTTGAAGACAAGTAGGAACAGAAAAAAACAATCAAGATAGATTCAGAAAAAATGCAGCAGACTAGAAATTTTTCAGAACAATATACAAGTAAACATCTTGCCAGAATGACAAATGCTTTGAAAATAAATACAAAGGGACTTGTTCTTCTGTGATGTACTTCAATAAAATATATAACAGATTGCACCAAATGGAATTCCAAAGAGAACAAATGTTTCTCTGAAGTATACTTGTAAGCCATGATTAAAGATATCCTTGCCAAGCTGTATTCAAAAAGAAAAAATATGAAGTCTCATAGGAAGCCATTACCTACCCAGTTCTTTATCGTTTCTATATCTTGGATGTCTTTATATAAGACTACATTGCCCCATTACTTGCAGAGTATGGTCTAATGAAAATTCTCCAAGTACACTCTGAATCTATAACCCACTGGCTCATATATAGGTGGCTAGAAGCACGCAGAAACATCATGTTGCACTGTTACCATAATTAGCATTATATTTCAGGTTAACTTAATTTCCAGCCTTTGCTTTTCCATTTATATCAAAACACACATCAACCAATACCCCCTGCCACTTTAATAAACTACATCCTACAGAGGTGCCTTGGCTTCTTAGACTCAACCGGTTTTGACAGTGACTTGCAGTAGTGCCAAAAAAAGAAAGAAATCAGGTGTTTTAAGACACCATATTAAAAAAAAAACAAAACCAAAAAACCAAAAAAATCCAAGCCCACACAAAAAACTCCCCATGAAACCAACCAAAGCAAGCAAACCAACCAACACAAAGCAAACAAAACAAACCACAAAACCACCAAAACAAACAAACAAATGAACAAACAAACAAAAACCCACCACAAAACCTAGAGTTTCCAGTTTAGATTGGGAAATGACAGTGCCAGACAAAGTAAGTTTCTGGGGGCCTTGGGAAGCTAGTTATCTGATAACACTGCTGCAATTTATACCAATGCCTTTGATCAATGACTACTGGCTCATCACATACTTTCGAGGCCACCGCTTTCAAAAAACTGAAATACTTACTTTGAAATGCTTATCCTATTACAAATTAGAGCACAATGTCTGGAACAAATGGCGTTCCATCTGTTTTCTTGTGTTCTGTTTTCTTCTTCACATGACAAATCATCAAAAAAAACATCTGACAAATCATGAAAAACACTATGTTTCCCCCGTTAAATGGGCTGCACACCAACAGGAACATTGCATTTAGACTTCGCTCTCTCAAGGTAGAAAGACTTCCAAACCCAATGGCTAACTCTGCATGGATTTCCAAATAATAGTTTTTATACAAAAGAAGCCTCAGCAGGTGCTGAACACACATCTTTGCAATGCACAATGTCTAAAATTCTTTTTAGCAAATCAAAGGGAAGAACAGTGCATCCTGGCCCTGGAATACACAGACAGAAACCAGCAAAGGCTTGAAATCTTCCCTTTGTCAACCATTACACTCAGCAGCCTCACCAAGTGCTGCATACATCCATGCTAAGCCTATTTCTCACAACCAGCACTGTATAAAAGTTTAAAAGGGCAGTGAGAAGCAAGAGGAAGCATCAGCAACACGCTAGGAAAACATATGAACCTTTGCAGAGCAGATACTTAGCTGGAATACCTCAATTTGAGTCATCTAAAATAGCTCTCAGCCTGCCTCTACACATTGTTCTCTGAACTTTGCTTTTTACTTTTTTTTTCCTCAGAAAAGAACACATGGACTCTATTAATACCCTGAGTCTCTATTTCCCCTTTGAATGAGTTTGGGATCCATACCTGAGATTTTCAGTTTTACTTTTGTATTAGTAAGTAAAACCAAGTAATTAAAAATGAAGTGCCCCTTCTCCTACCTATTCTTTAAGTACTGCAACAGAAAGAAGAAGGTCAAAGTCTTGCATTTGCTCCATATTGTATTGCCTCCTGTAGAGAGGCAGATGCCTACTTTCTCCTTGTGCGCCTTCCAAGCTTCCCTTCGCACAGTCAGCTCTGAAGGCACAAAGCATACAGCGCCTCTCAGAGGAATAAAGATCAAGAACATCACTAAAGCCTTCCTTGCACAGGTGGAGAAATTCAGCCAAAGTGGGCAAAGTCCACAGAACCTGAAATTTAAAAACCCTGTTGTGTATTTCTGCACTTGTGATTTTTCTTAGACTTTTCCCTTGAAGCAATGGACAAAATCTTTTGTTTACAGGTGACCACACTAGCAAGCAATTTTCTTTTTAGAACACTTTACTTTCACTTATAATTAACTGTGCCACCTCCCAACATTCATCCTTCTTCTGAAGCATCTAGAAAATTCCCACTGGTTACCACAAAAATATCTATCATAGGGCCCATATTTTTAAGAACAGTAATAGAAAGGATTACCTTATCCTTTTATCTTCAATCTTTTTCAGATACTCATCTCTCTTCAAAACTCCCAATATTGTTTCCCGTTCATGTTCCAACAAAAATGACAAATTGATGATCTCCAGGTGCTTTGTCATGGTTCTTCAACAGCCACTCTTTCAATGACTGCTTTGTCCAGTCAATTTCTCCAACGTTTTGCTTGCACGAGTCCAAAGGCACGTTTGTGTCAGCGTTACAAGATCCACACAGTAAAGAGATATTTTGAAAAATGCTTCTGAAGTTAACCAGGGGTCAAGATTGTATTTCTTTGCCTCCCAGCTATGCAAGAAATCAAGGTTTCTTCTTTGTTTCTTCCCCAAGAAAGCCAGTCATTTTCCTAGTTATTGAATGCCCTTCTGCTCACTGGCACACTGCAAGCCTTCAGCCTGTTTTCACAAACAGCTACAGAATCAGCTTCCTGGCATAACCATAGTTTGGAGCCACAAAACAGCTGGGTATATTTATTTCAAACAACCTGAAAGGCAAAGCAAGCAAACAAAATAGGTGTAGGTGATTTTGACATTACCATCACAGTCTGATTTGAGAAAGGCTTAATCTAGTAATGGTTTGAAAGCTGCCAAAGAACAGCTTGCAGACTATCAGGTTGGCTTAGGAGCTACTTATATGTCATGTTTTCTATCTTGTCATTTATTTACTTGCTCATGTTTAGTTATTATGCTCCCATAAGGGCTCTGCAATTATCTTCCTACTGCAATATGCTTAAATGACTATATTCACCTTGTAATATTTTTCATCCTAACAGTAATAAGCATGGGTCTGGTGGAAGGAATGATTCTATTAATTTCCCTGAGATTAAGGGAGAAGTAAAATTAATGACTGGAAAGGCTTCAGAAGACAGCACTGGATCTAAGGCTCACCTCAAAAGAAGTATACACCTTCATCCCAGCATTCATAGTCAAGTCAGAGAAATAGGAACTTTCAATGAGTGATTTATCCACTTACTGCAGACATTGAATTTTGGATGACACATTCTAGAAATGCCCGTTCCCTTCCGGTAAATACAGCCAGAATTTGGAGTGACTTAATAACATGTAACCACCCAGAAGTAAGAAAAGTATCTTCTTTTTTTTCTTTTTTTTTTGAGTTTCATGGGGGTTTTTGTTTGGGTTGTCTTCTTGGTTTTTGATTTGGGTTGGTTTGTTTGTTTTGTGGGGGGAAGGTGTGTTTGTTTTGTTTGACCTTGGTGATTTTGTTTGTTTGGTGGTTTTTTGTTGTTGTTTTTTCCATCTCTAAACAGAGAACAACTTTCAAACAAAACCAGAAGAGACATCCTAGCCCATACTGGAGCTAAACTTGTAGTTAACTGGTTAGAATATCCAGGCAGCTACAAGAGGACAGTCTCTTGTAAATAAACATAACATGCCAAAAAAAAACACGAGACACTTTGCCTTAACAAAAACAAACAAAACAAGCTATGTGTACAGATGCACATTTTACTTTGAAGCATGTAAATAATACATACACAATAAACACAAACACATACATACACAAAAAAATGCTTCCACATCATCGTACATAAGCAAATACATGTGTGCATACATAAGCGCACATATGTCATAAAAGAATGCAGATTTATACGATGTATGCTGGAAGAACTAAAACAGCATTTAAGACTTTATTTTTTTTTTAAGCAGCCCTTGCATCCTAGCTTTTGACAGTTTGGGAAGAATTGACAAAGATAATAGCATTGAGAATTGAAGGAGTAGTATTCGCAGTCTAAGACAACTATAAGACAAATTATCCTTCAGTTTCCCTTCCTAACAATGACTGAAGAAGCAAATACTGTTGGCAGTGGCATTAGATGAGATTCTTGTGTTGCTTTTCACCAGGTACTTCAGAATATGAGTTTTGAAACACGCCATTCTCCCAGTTATCTGACTATTTATTAGAAAGGATACAAATGTCACAACTTAAGTTCATAGGAGATTTCCCTCTTATTAGTTTTACATGAGCATGGGAATTTCTTCTGATATTTTGTAACCTGTTGTCCTGGGCTCAGCAGTAGCAGTCATTTTTCTCCTTCTTAGTAGCTGGTGCAGTGCTGTGGTTTTGACTTTCAGCCTGGGAACAGCACTGATCACACCGATGTTTTTAGTTGCTGCTCAGTACTGTTTACTCTGACCAAGGACTTTGTGAGCCTCATGCTCTGCCAGGGAGGAGGGGAAGCCAGGAGGAAGCAGAGACAGGATACCTGACCCAAACTGACCAAAGAGGTATTCCATACCACAGCACGTCATGCCCAGGGGGTAAATGGAGAGTTACCCAGAAGGGCTATATCTATGCTCGGATCGGGTTGGATAGGGTATTGGTCAGCAGGTGGTGAGCGGTTGTATTCTCTTCCCTTGTTATTTCCCTTATCATTATTATCATTGGTGGTAGCCGTAGTTTTATATTATACCTTAGTTACTGGAGTGTTCTTATCTCAACCCGTGGGAGTTACATTCTTTTGATTGTCCTTCCCATCCGCTCCGGGAGTGGGGAGAGGAAAGGAGGGGGAGTGAGCCAGGACTGCATGGCTGATTTACAACTGAGCTTAAACCATGACACCTGTTTCAATTAATCATTAAAAATTTCAAATTAATTTTAAAAAAATCACAAAATATACACAACTTACATACAAGGTTTTTTCAGTTATTTTTTCTTTTTTCCCCATAAGAAAACACAATATAAATCTTAATGTTTCTGCAACAGAGATCCAACTATCAGTGTCACTCTCATCAGGTAAGAAAATAGTACAGAAAAGTCACACACAAACTGAAAACACACAAGTAGTCAATGCAAGGCGGAAATACAGGTCAGGATTGCCAGTTATAAGCTTACTATAATTGAAAATTGGGAAACAAACCACAGACTACTACTTCTGGCTAGATTGCTATCTTAAACATATAAAAGCCAAGTAATAAAGATACACTTGGAAAAAAAATACTTTGATTATTTGCATTTATATTAATAGGAAAAAAAAGCCCCAAAACAAACAAACCCCGAAACCAAAACACCCACAAGAGAAAAACAAAAAGAAGACTCAACCATTACGTTTATTCTTACATTCTTGAAAACAGTATTGCTATTAATACCTTAAGGCCAAAGGTATTTATTACTGGCAAAGCAAAATGAAGAAATCCAAGATGTGAATTATACTTTGTTACTATCAAGAAGGCTGGCTTTCTCACACTGCCTAGCAAAATGCCTGGTGAAAACAGTACTTTCAACCCCAGAACCTAACATCAGTGGACTACGGATCATGAGGCTTCGCATAAAATTCACAGACCCAAGTTCAGCTCTCAGAGAATAAGCTAAGTTGCTTGGCTGGTCAAGGCTCACTGAGTTTCTGTTCACAAGATTTCCTTGCAGAGGTAGTGTAGGTGACACACAGCATTATTCTGACAGGCGTTTATTTTTTAACTGAGTAAAAATGATCTCTGCACCTTTATTGTCCTGATGATGCACTGCAGGTAACTAGGGTTCTTGCACAAAGCCATCACAGTGGTACAACAAGGGGGCTGACAAGAATACTACTCTACCTTTTAAGACATGTTCTGGTATTGGGAATTCAGGGAAGAGAAATATCATTTCAAAGGATTAACTTGACATCTGGCCATATTTTCTGAGCTTTTTCTTTAAACTCTAAAGAGGTTATTACTCCTGCCAGAATATCTGCAAGCCATGAAACTTCCCTTTGCCTAAGCATACCCCCTATGCTTCGATGTCCTGGAAGATTTTTCCTCTCAATACAGGGAGGCACACATGAAATTCAAGAATACTAATATGACATACCATAATTGGGAATCCAGTTATTTCATTTGCCACCTGGAGCATAGGGTCAAATATGTAGACTTCAGGGCAGAATTAAGCACTAGTTAGGGAATAAGGTCACAAACTGACTGATTAGATGGACTTAAAATTGAAGAGAGTGCCACAAACCCCTGTGCCAAATGTAAACCAGCTGAAAGAATATTCCATTAAGTTTCTTACAGCTTTCACCAGTGAATAAATCCTAAACCAAAGAACATGCACCAGTGGCAGCAGAGGCAACACCTGCAGGCAGAAAGCAGGTAGGATCTAAATCCCACATGAATGAAGATCCTTCTGAACCACAGATCAACAGGCAGTCACATCAACCCATGGCTATGCTCAGGAATAGGTTGGGAAGAGGCTGGATTTATAGGCCAGCACCAGAGGTGGTAGCAACAGGTTTGAAGGCATGAAGAGTGAAGCACCCAAGAAGAGGTTAACAAAGGAAAGAATGAAGAATTATTCTTACTGCCCACAGGCATAACCTGACACTGAACTGATCTCCGAGTTGCCACTGCCCTCTACACCAGATGCGACTGGCTTAGAAACACCAGAGCAGATGCACTGGACAGTGATCTAGTCAACAAAATTCTGGCATCTCATGCTGATAGCTGAGCTTTCAGGTGAACTACGTGAATCTTAAATAAAAATTATTATAGTCTTGTTTGCAAAGACAACAGAAACTACATTAGATTTTACAATATAGATAATAATGCAGAATACTGTTTACCAAATAGACCCAAATTACATTCATTTTAAGATCATCTTTAAGATGCTTGTAGTAAAATCTGTTTTTACAGAAAGACTATAATCAACTAAAGTTTTGCAGTGTTCACAATGGGGTTTATTGACTTATTTTTTACTAAACATACCTTGAAATAGATCCTTCAGTCACATTTATGACAAAAATCTTGTGGATTTTATAACATAACAATGAGATTGGCAACTGTCAGAAAATACATCAATAATTTTACCTACTTATGTGTTCAACCAACTCCATGTAGGCTAAAATATTTTGTGAATTAGCAAAAATATTCTCCTGTGGAGCTGAGATGGCAGCCTATTAAGTGATCCCATCCTCAGTATTAGCAAGACATAAAACCTACCATCCTCAAAATTTCCCTTACTGTTTTGATGGAGGAACACAGTCTCCAGCACAACGCCAAGCACCCTGGCATACAATTTTTGTGTTCAGCGATGCAGCAACATAGCTGATGCTGAAATAGCCCAGTTTTTCTGTCCACCAGCTACCCAACTTATGTGTAGCAGCCAGGTAATTTGTATCAAGATTTGGACCCATCTCACCTTCCAGAATGTCTTCTGCACTACGAAACTGCTACCCAACATAATAGATATCCTAACCAGACACTGACTAGCAGCTGAAGCTTAGCAAATACCTCAAGAGAAGCTTGTATTTGTTCAGACAGGATTCCTTCTAAACACATTACGCCTGTGACCCCTGCCTAGGTGATATGCTCTACCCCAAGCCTGCTGAAGCACAAGCAGTAGTTAACTTTGCATAAGCCACATTTTCTCAACTCTTAGATAATGTTACCTGTGCAAGGCTATCTTTTAAGACTGAAGATAGTGCAGTTTACCTTTACCCTACCTGAGGCAGATCTAGTCCCTTGTCCCTGCACCCTACTTCACTCCTGCCTGATT